CCAAACAAACAGAAGCAATAAGAAACTATCAAAAACAGGGTTTGGTTATGATTAAGCATTGTTTCGGAAACTCTCAAACTATCTCGATACCAGAGTAAAGAGTTTTCTTTCATAACTTTTCTTTACAGAACAAACGCAAAAGCTTACGCGTTCAACTAGCGCGGGCACATATTATTATTCAATCACAGCGCGGAATTGAAGTCTTGTTTTCGACCCTGAAAAACTCACCTTTTCCATTAGCTCAGAGCATAAAGAGCCCTGAATCTAATTCCTTGCCTTATTCCCTGCCATCGCTGTGAAATATCTGCAAGAGAATCTCGCGACTCTCACTATTTGGTCACGCAACGTGACAACATCCACGCGAGAGCCCCCGACACGTGCGTGGATCCGCGCGGATATATGACGTCAGGATGGCGCAATTTGTTCTAAAAATAGAAAAATTGTCCCATATCATAGGTGCGCGCGGATCCCGAGACTTACGGTCTCCGTCCCCGATTATGGTTCCTGGTCCACGGGACATCGAATCCTGCCATCTTGCGGCTGCAAGGCGTATGAAACTATGGTCGCTAAATGCGAACTTGTCCTTTAAGGAACCTTACCAGTTGACTAAATTCACTGAAGGTTCACTTAAACAATATTTGGCAGAGAAAATTTCACTTCAAAAATCTAATTGCAATATTTTTGGGCTTACAGACAGTGTGGCCTTATTCGCTAACGAAGCCCGTTTTTCAGATTTAGGCTGTTCTTCCGGGCATGTTCTCTTCAAAACGAAGTCGGGTGTTCTGAGAGAGAAAGGCGGAAAATAAACGCCAAATTTTCGTTCATTTAAAAATTGCTTTACGAACACTTGCTTAAGCGCTTGAAAAAGCGTCTAATCTTTCACCAGTCCGTTTTGTTTGTCTGAGTTTGTCTGAGTTATGACGTCACTCGCACGCTTCGCTATTGGCGTTTTCTTCAAGAAGAATTGTTTGGTGTTATTTACATAAACTTTTGAGTTCTCAACGAAGGACAACAACACGCACTTGGATCACAATATAAGCTTACTTTTGAAGAACGTTATTGATATATCCAAGTCACTATTTTTCATGAACACGATCTTTATGTCGTTCACCTATTTATTATTACGCAGCCGTGTTGTTATTAGCCTTATTGCTGCCGTTAAGTGAAGCTTACTTACTTGGCACTTTCCGTTCCGAACCGCTCGATATAATCGCTAAGGTAAGTAACAAGTAAGTAAGTAATAACTTAATTTAAGTAACAACTTTATTAAGGTCAGCTGACGGAGTTTAAAAAGGTACCATTATATAATTTAATATGGGACATGTTGTGAGTGCGAGTCTAATTTGGGGCCTTCAACATATTCACTGCTTAATGTCAACTGGTCGTTTAGGGGGGAGCGGGGTTAGGCAAGTAAATCAGTGTTTGGACGTAAATGGGGGCATTCTTGACCAAAGCAAAAAGTCTGTTTTAAGAAAGTTTACTTCATGCTAANTGAATAAATTCTCTTTTCAAGAAATCACAACATTGTTGAACAACGCTTGTAACTTGAAGATGATCAGCTGCGGCAAGAACTTCAAGCACGTTTTCCTTGTTGACATGAAGATCTCCAGTGTAGATGGAGTCCATTACAATCTTTAAAGCATCAGGTGAAATGCTTTCATCTTTCAGTTCAATCACTTCCTGATTCGACTCCTTCATTCCAGTAGTAAACATGGCGTGGAAATAATCACTATTCGCAGCGAGTACAATGCGATGAGCAGGAAAGATGTCTTCACGCACTTTTAAACGAATGTCGATGAATTGACTTTCGTCTCGAAACTGAGCACACTTGGATAAAAGAATCTCAGAATGGGCGACCATCTTACTTGTTGACGAACTCCGATAGTGAAAGAGAGAGCATTCTTATGCAACAGTGATTTGCAGTTTCAAAAATGCAAATCTTGCAGATCAAGGAATGCAAATCGTACAGATTTTTGTGTGATCTTCGCGTCTCCACCTAAACATCACGCAAGAAGGGTCACGGAACCGAAGCTGTACAAACTGCATCGATCAGCGTGAAATCACAGCATAGGTTAACATTGCTTGTCACTTGAAGATCATCAACTTCGGCAAGAACCTCAAACACATTCGTATAAGCTGTTTGTTTAATTTTGTTTCGAGAGTCTGTATGATGATCCAGGTCTTTCTCGACAACCATGCTAAGCTGTAAAGTGCAAGGACACTGTTCACTCATTTCTCACGAGTTGTTGAGAAAATCACTGAGGCTCGACTGAGGCCACGCCCTTCGCACCTGGACAATAAATCGATGGAAAAACTCGGCATGTAACTTACAGTATGGACCTTTAACTCAGTCAGTAAGAAGTATGTATTTATTAGTTGTGAGATAATAAAAGATACAGACAACATCTAAGTGATAAAGTCACTATGTACGTTTATTATATTACACTTTTTTGACACCGAACACTAATTACTGTGCATTACATTGTTTGACTACAGGAGCCATAATCGTGGACGGAGACCGTAAGTCTTGGGATCCACGCGCACCTATGATATGGAACAATTTTTCTATTTTTAGAACAAATAGCGCCATCCTGACGTCATACATCCGCGCGGATCCACGCACATGTCGGGGGCTCTCGCGTGGATGTCGTCACGTTGCGTGATCAAATGGTGAGAGTGGCGAGATTCTCTTGCAGATTTTTCACAGCGATGGCAGGGAATAAGGCAGGGAATAAAACCAGGGTTCTTATACGTAGTTTTATGCTCTGTGCTAATGGAAAAGGTAAGTTTTTCAGGGTCGTAGACAAGACTTCAATTTCGCGCTGTGAATGAATAATATCCGCTCGCGCTAGTTGTACAGGTAAGATTTTGCGTTTGTTCTATAAAGGAAAGTTATGTGAGAAAACTCTTTACCCTGGTATCGAGTTAATTTGTGAGTTTCCCAAACAATGCTTAATCATAACTAAACCCTGTTTTTGATAGTTTCTTATTGTTTCTGTTTGTTTAGCGAGTTCTGTTTGTTTGGCGAGTCGGTGTTTTCAATTGTCAACCAATTTTGACAAAGATTTCTTTCGTTGTCTTTTGTGCTGAGATACTGCAACAATTTTCACCAACGTCAAAAGGCTACTAATATCATGTGTGTTTCTTTAACATAGTGAAATTTTACACTGCGAAAATAACATAGACTTACGGTCTCCGTCCCCGACTATGGCTCCTGTTGACTACCAATACGTTTATAGCAGACCATCAAACCAAACCCCGAATAATTTTTATATAAACTTTTAAAAGTAGTCAAAGTTTCGAAAAAACTACATTTCTCAAAGTTCCAGGTAAGACCAAGGAACTGTGAAAGAATGGTGGCGTGGCATTGCCATTTTAGGTGTGAGAGGAAAGACGTTACTTTTCTCACAGGACGTCAACCATGTGAATTCCAGGTGTCGGTCGGACGTGCCAAATAATTCTTAACGCGCTTTAGAAACGATTCCTACAACAAAACTCGCGACTTCAGCCGGTTTAGACAAAGTTTATTGAAGCGACGCGTTGAGACGTTAAAAAAAAAAACGCTTTAAAACCTCGTAAAAAACGGTACTTGCACATGAAGCGATTTGTAGCGAAGCGATATAACAAAGCGGTAAACCAAGCGGTGTAACAAAGCGATGAAAGCGGTTTCGAAAAACTAAGAAGTAAATATAACGAAAACTATAATTAGACTAACTAGAAACAACTACGAAAGTTAGAAACAATTGTTCCGAGAGTAGAATGAACTATAAAATGCAAAAAGATGTACAAATTCCTTCTGTGTCCGCTTGAGGAATTTCACGAGCTGTAACGTAGATACCTTAAGAAACTTGATGTCAACACGTTGAAAGGCTAACCCGAAGTGAGAGTTTTCCTGAACACGTTAGAAGTACTTCTAAACAATACAAAGGATAAGAGCTTTTTTTGTTCTTAACATCGTACGTGGGTAAACATATCCTTGGACTAACCACAAAAACACGTAAAACAGCTTTTAAGTTTGTTTAGTTTTTTTATTATTATTATTATTATTTTTATTATTATTATTATTATTATTATTATTATCGCACACTATTAACAGAAAAACAACTTAACGTGAGATGGTTTACAATGATATAGGAAATATAAATACAGATAGAAATTAACTAGAGGAAACAATATTTAACTGTGTACAGTGACCAAAGTTGCCAATGAGCTTTCGAGTTGGTTACTGTCATGTAGACGTAAGTTGGCGTTGGCCGCATGCTAAGTTAATTTAAATTAATATTTACATTAAAGACGATATTATTATCATAAAAGAAGAAAGAGATACATAAATGCAAGCTAAAATAAAGGAAAAACAATGTCCTGAATATTGTACTGTAGTATCTTACATAGCTAACAGGTAAACTATGGTCAGTTTTGAAATACAAAGAAACTAGCAATAGCAATACAAAGAAACTTCTAAAGGTTAGAAAGGAAAGCGAAAAACCATTAATATTTGGCAGCAACAGTAGGATTTATTTTTTATTTTGTCTGATCACTCCTCAAGTGAAAAATTTTGAAGAGAGGCTAACACACACAAAGCCGGCATGCGATATGATGAACTATCAGTTACTTTGACTCACTTTCCCCTTACTCTGCTCATAAGTTTTCTCTTTTTACAGGCAGATAACACAAGACTGCATCACTCCTCACTTTTGCTACGTTTTCCCATTCGTTTAATGAAACGTTATATTCCTCCTCCGGTGGGATTCTAATCCCACTGTCAATTGGAAATTTGTTGATGATGAAATACACCCTCCCTTTTATCTCCACTGCACTAAGATTGTCTGGGGAATATGTCTTTGTTCCTCAACAGACCAAGCATTGTTTTCCTCACTATAAACTTCAACTGGGGCTGGATTGTCATCACGAGTAGAAATTTTTCCCCTAGCTACACACAGTGTGTTATTGACAACAATAAGCCTGGATCCAAAGTGAGGATACCAGGTTGATGTTTTTTGTTCCCATTTATTCTTTGCTGGGTCAAAACAATGCACAACAGCTGCCATATCTACTCGATAATTATCATTCCCTTTATCATTTTCACTTCTTGTATATCCATGAATTACATATATTTTAAATTTGAAAAC